TTACTACCTGTACTACTAGTCCTACTTTGTGGTTTTTCACTTATCGTGGAGCTTCAGGGTACGGATCCACCGCAATAAACGAGGGACTACTGCATTTGACTGAAGTAAAACTTAAAAAGTGCAGTTAAAGGCTACAGCAAATATTTTTTAAACTGCTACCTTTACGCGTCTTTCAGTAAAACAACATAATTTATTGTGAAACTCAGAAACGAGGTGTTATTAATAAATCAGTGCTTTCATCTTCTACAAAGTGCACCATCTTCATAATTATTCCAAAAGCCACCTCTGCTAAATCTATCTGATTTGAGATTCATGTCCACATTTAAGACCAGGAGAACACAGAATTTTTTTTAAATATCTTCATGCTAAAAAAAGGTATGAAAGTAAAAGTATAAAAGGTAAATAAAAAGAAGTAAAAAAGGTATAAAAGTATCTTCCTCAAGGGCGTAGGTACTGCAGGGAACGTGGAAACACAGCAGGGAGGTGATACTTACACATCAATAAAATGCAGCTCAGTCCTCCACAACAATATGTCACATCCTGAAAAGGTGATTTGTCATGACTTGTCTTATAATAATATGAACACTCCTAAGTGCACAGTGTAAACAAAGTACTTATGTTCAACAAATTGTGAGTCAAGTAAAAAAATAAAATAAAATAAAACAATGGCCTCAGACTTGTCACTATAACCACATTCTGACAGTGGTAGCAACGTGTGAATATCCTACTTTGATACCAGATCATGTTTCACTGTGGTAATCATAGCACTGTACACAAATCAGGAGTACAGGTCAGGCTTGCGTGACACTCGAGGCCTTTTTCAGTCAGGTCTGTTTGACCAATCCCTCTACTCATCCTGTTAGCTTGTCAATTACGTCTTTGTCCTCTGAGACCATCGTTAGCAAAGCTAAAGCTGAGCCAGGCCAGTTAAGAACAAGGACCAGGTGGCCTCATGAAGAGGGAAGTTAAAATGCTTCAGCACGTGCGCTTGCTCAAACTGGGCTCAACAAAACAAAGATCAAGTCCCTTAAGCTGCTTTTCTAGCAAAAAAAATTGCTTACATGTTGTCACGTTGGTCAGAACAAATGGCTCAGTTTAAAGGCCCCGAGGCAGAGCCTGAGAATAGGATGTACTCACTCTGAGGACAACAAAGAGTCACTAGTTTTACGTTCTTTAAAGAGCATCAGCACAGCCAGAAAACGTAACTCAAGTCTTCATATAGGACTGCTCAACCACGCCCAAGGCTGGAAGAACACTTTTAAGTTCATAGCCCACTTGTTATAAAAAATAGAGACAAAACCTTCAGTTTCAACAACTAAAGTTCCCCTTTCAAAACTAAAAATCTATTTAAGGTAAATTTCAGTGTCAGGCCAAAAAATAAAAACATGTTCTTAGAACTTTTATAAAAAGATGAAGGTGCTCTAAAAAAATAGCTAAAAGAATGAGAAACTCAAAAGCAACTAAGCTTATGGATCATACTTAAAGCATGTAACAGTCATCATTACATGGTAGGTGAAAACACTTGACTGAAATCCTACAGTACACTGAGCCATGAAAATTTTTACCTGTTCAGTAGTCCCTTGCTATTTCACAGTTTGACTTTCGCAGACTCGCTCTTTTGCGGTTTTTCAACGTACGATTGTACACGACACACGTTTGTCAAATTTAATATTACTCACGTGATTGGGACGGTGCGGGATAAAAAGTTTACGAAAAAATAATACTTCCAAGAGACGCCGCCAGTATGTAGTTTTCTTTCAATAAGTCTACACTGTAACGCCAGTCAAAAGAACTACACTACCCAGAAGCCAACAGTGCTTCTGGCCGCTGCTTTCTGACAAAATGGAGGAATAGTTTAGCAATGCAAAATCAGAAGTAACGATCCATCTATTAAGCTCACAGAACTGTCAGGAAAGTCGCAAATAATCCTGAAGCTCAATTATCCACGCACACATCAACCTGGACGGGGCGGTGGGTTTTGTCGCTGCAGGGTAGGTCTGCCGAACCAGAACAAAGCTGCTGGTCTGCAGAGCTGGTGAGTAAAATTTTGCAGTATTGTACAGTACATATACATATATTGTTAAAATTACGCAGGTTTAAGAGTTCAGAACATTGCAAGAGTGTGGGAAAGGTTTATTAAACCTTAAAATGTATTTCAATACTAAAATAAATATAGCGTTTGCAGTTTATCACCTATTGCGGTGGTGTCTGGAACATAACCCCTGTGATAATCGAGGGACTACTGTAATACACAAAAGATGACAAGAAGATAAATCAACAGTTTGATCTTGAAAATATCAACATCTTTAAAATGACTAAGATGTAAAAGGTTTTGAAGTCAAAGTGATGGAACTACGAGCCTGCAAGTCATTTCTTGACAAACTACTAAAGCAGCACAATTCTGTAGCGACACGGAAGTTGGACACGGTTGTTAGAAGGTACATGATCAAAGACACCACATTATCTGGTCCCGCCGCTCGAGATGAGTTTCTGGAATGTGTTCAAATGTAGGTTTTTGTTCCGTCGTATTTTTATGTTTTGGCCTTTCGTTCATCTCCAGAGGTCTCGGCTGCCTCAGTGACGGCTACACGTTACAGAGGTTATCAACACCTGTGGTAGCTATGCAAGGCAAAACGTCTCGGTGGCAGATGCACAGGGTTGATAAGTGCAGGGAAAAGGCTGCCGTCAGGACTACAGATGGAACAAAAGCTGCGGCTGCTGTAATTGTAGGATCATGGTATAAGCCTGACACACTTGGATGAACAACTATGCCTGATACACATAACTTAAAGTCGGGCACATGCTGTAAGGGAATTGGATTAGCTTCTGGCAAAAAAGCGGGGATTATAAATTATTCTGACTTTAAATGTGCTTCTTAAAGATGGATTACCATTGCCATTTTTTCCCTCTTTTATTTTGCTCATGAACAATTGTTATACTAAGCAAGAATATTTGGGTTCATTAACTTAAGATCAAAATAACATCTAAAGTAAAATAATTACATACTATCTTGTTTGTCTAGTCACAGTGATTCAGTTCAGATTGAGGCCAGCCCTGCTGTAGTTCTCTGAGTGATAATTATCAAATATGTGATAGAAACAAAACACAAAGTTAACTTTGTTAAATGCACAAACATTAGAGCTGGCCAACACCAAGGCAGCCTCTTTTCATATTCCTCCAAATCACATTAGGGCATTATGTAACCATTTATTCAAATTAATCAAAATCTACTAACTAATAACTCTACAGCAGTACTAATTCTGTGATATGCCGCCACTGACAACCAGTCCGCACTGCTCCTTTCTGCTTTGTTCTTCCATCCACAGGCTTTTACTCCAGCCGGCTCTGATTGGCAGATGTGGCTATATGCCATAAATGGTCATAGTAACAAGTCATTCAACATGGATAAACAGCAAGAACGTGGACGGAGTCTAAAAAAATAAAAACCGTGTCCACGCAGTGTTGTAGGAATACATAAATGAGCTGGCACTAGTTTTGATCTTTATTTGTGTGGGTGGAACACGGAAAAATGTAGCCCTGCATTTGTGTCGCAATCTGCCGAGGCCAGTCCACCAAATGGCTGCCTATGCATACGAGCACCAAAATGACACATCAACTCTGGTCTATATTTAACTCACTGGATCTCCTTCCAATGTTCCCATCCTTTCACAGGAAGCTGCCAAGGAGCATGGTGAGAAAAGCAGACTGAGGTGATATGTAATTACACTGAATTGATCCGGCCTCCTACATCCCTTCATCGTACCCACACACTCCAAGATAATGAAATGGAAGGGGAGCGTTTTTCTGCTTACAATAAATCCTTTTAGGCCAGACACTTTTATTTATGGTGGCAAAGGAAACCCTTTACAGCTTGACTTTTGAGGCCTGCAACATCAAAGCACAAACAGCAACAAACACCCGCTGTGGTTGGCAATCTCAATCTGATACGGACTTCACCAAAACCAGCTCTCTTCTCTTCAAAAAATGCTGTGGTTAAAAATGATAAACCCAATTCTCTCTGAACACTCCACTTATTATAGTGTAATGTCTGAAATGTTGAGATTTAACTTCTTTAGAACAATGTTCAGGCTTGAAAATCACCAAAAGGACATCTACAGATATGTTGTTATCTCTGTAGCCACGATTACATTCATTGCCAACTAAAAATATTTCTGTCAAGATGATACTTGCTTCAAGATTTATAGTTTAAGCTTTGTTTATATGTGGTGTTCTTAAGTTTTTAGTTTAGACATGTACAGAATATCCTGTACCTAGGCCTGTCGCAATAAACAATAAATCAATTAATCGCATGATAAATGAAAATTATCGACCTCATTTTCATTTATCGGCGTTATCATTTCTTCTTGTCTCTCTCTTTCTACTGAAGACACTGGATACTAAGAATACAAGATGAATGTAGGTACATTCATCTTGTATACTAAGAATACAAGATGAATGTACCTACATTCATCTTGTATTCTTAGTATAAATGGGGTAATGCCTACACCGACAAGTTTATACCATCTTTCCAATACTTTGTTTTTACCTCCTCAGTAAGAAAAACTAATAAAAATGAAAAAAATAAATAAACTGACAGACGGCTTACAGTGCACAAGGCCACAAAAAGGTGAAAAAGAGACAACTACTAGGCTATGTGGCAAAAAACATTCAGTTGAACGCAGACTGATACAATATTTGCATCATATGGACCCACCCAACAACCACAAGGATGAAAAACTTCAGCAACCAAACGGTTGCACAATAAAAAACAAAAAAATTAAAAAGACAATGAGCGGGGAGGCACACAAAAGAAAAGATTTCATGGACAGTATTTTCTATACTACTAGTTTTAAAGACCTGTTGAAGAAGTAGTCTTTAGTTGTGGAATGACAACAATCCTGTTGTAACAAAATGAAAGTAAAACTGATTGAACTTGTAAAAGTAGGGTGTGTGTGTCTGGAGGCCATGCTGGGAATGAAATGTCAAATGTAAAAACTCACCTGTTCTTTTCCAGTTCATTATGTGTTGATCTGCAAAATCAAACAAAAAACAGAGGCTGTCAGATAATTCCAAATGTTCATTTTAACACACTTTTCAAGCTCAATTCAGACCTGGCACAATTATCTTTGTAATATTTACGTTGTACAGTTAAAAAATGTAAAGTGGCTATGCAAAAATGGGCTTAGATTTACATATTGAGGTGAAGTAAAGAAACCCATAATAAGTCCCGCATTCTGGGGATGTTATGTCAACAAATGTTAAAATGACATCCAGGCATTCAGGGTGGCTTGACAGCCTCTTCCTCAATAATACACAGCAGAACTCTAAGAGGATGTGTGTGATACTGAAGGCACTTCACTAAGTACAGTATACAATCTACATTATGTGTGTGTGTGTGCATGTGTTTCTGGGCAGCCTGCACTCACATGCACACACGTAGCCAGAGTTCAGCGTTCTGTTAATAATGTAAAGTGAATCAGCTGCTCCTTGAAAGCGTCTTTGTATGGCAACACACTAAAGGGAGACAAGGCCTCCTCATGATTCTTAAATGACCAAGTTCCTTTTCACATAAACTGCACTCTACCAAACCTGAGTAAGGCACGGTGTTTACAAATGTAAGTTTATGAATCATTTTATTATACAATGTCAAATTAACACTGCAAATTATTTTCTTAATCTTTTCTTAAACATTGATCTTAGTTGACCAACTTCTATTTTGGGGAAATATTGAGTCGGGCAACGTGTAGAAAACAAGATAAGAACAGAAGGAACAAAAAAAAAACAGTGAAAGAGCGAGTTTAGCTTGTCAAACCTGTCCCTTAACCCAATGCTTTTGTTAGTTTGAAAACAAATTTAAAAAGCACCATCCATAAAGGAAATACACACTGCAATGCTTGTGGTTGGGTGTGTAGGATCGCATGCTGAGGCATGTGTTACTATCATACTTTTGTCTCGTCGTACCTTTCATTACAACATTTATGGCCAAGTTGAGTCACTGCCATCGCAGCAAAACACACCGCTCACACACGAACAGGTGCAGACCATTTCCTGAAACTCATCGAGTGCTTAAGTGGCTGTGGCTGAGTGGTTAGAGCAGTCGTCCACCAATGCAAGAGTTGGGATTCAATTCCACCAGCAGTCACATGCCAAAGTGTCCTTGGGCAAGACACTAAACCCGTCATTGCCTCCGATGCGTGTCCCATCAGTGAATGAATGTGATAAAGCTCTGATTAATCTTTGTAGAGATATAGTAGAGTGCTGTATGAATGGGTAAATGAGGACACAGATTGTAATGTAAAGCGCTTTGAGTAACTCGATAAAATAGAAAGGTGCTATATAATATATATAATATATACATATAATTTACCATTTAAGCTCACGTGTCTTTTGACAGGTTTTGATGTACATATTCTGCATCCATGTAGTACTCTTGCATGGCTGTGCTCTGCACTCTGACATCCAGTAATGAACACTCAAAGGGATCCATTTTAAAACCAGCACTATTATTATTTCGATTAACTAACTGCAGTCACATCAGAAATTAAACTGGCGCTTCCAAAAATCTGCCATTTATTCAGAAAATGAAAGTTTCCAGTCTGTGTTCAATTCACACTTCTTGTGCACAGATAATTACATGTTTAATGTTCTACTGAAGACGTCTGCATCCGTTTGTGAGTCAGAACAAGTGTTTAGCCAAACAGACGACGAATACTTGCATAATTTGCATAATTTGCGTCAATAGCTGTCATATTGCCTGCACTGCATCTGTGTTGCTTAGTAACCCACATCCCACTTTGAACTCCAATCCAAACCACTTTTCACAAAAATGCGTTGTTGTTTTTCAGCCGATTATATTTCTTAAAGGATGAAGAGGGAACTATTTTGGCTGCGGTTGCATTTACTGAATGTCGAGCAGTGTTTTAAATGTTTCACAACATTTTGAAACCTCCAAGAAAGTTGTGTGTGCCCAAAATTATTTTTGAAGACAAGAAAGTGAGAGCAAGAGTGTGAATGGTTGTTTGTCTCGTTTGTCTCTTTGTGTCCCTGTGATGGACTTGCAACCTATCCGGGGTGTCCGCTGCCTCTCGCACAGTGATGGCTAGGCCTGTCACGATAACAAATTTTGCTGGGCAATTAATTGTCTCAGAAATTATTGCGATAAATGATAATATTGGTTGAAATTTAACAATAATTAGTAATTATTGACATATTTATGAAGAAATGTTGGTTAAGTTTTGTGTGTAGTTCCTTTTTTTGACCACCGGATGGCAGTATAAGATTGTTTGAACCGAAGGATGGATACTGAGGGAGTGAGCAGCGTGTCTCTAAGAAAAATTGGAGGGAGGCCCCTTGACGTGACATGGGCTGTCTATCCTTCCTTGTTTCGGTTCTCAAAATGGCAGACCAGGGCTTAATTTGTAAACTGATTGATACCAGAACCGCGGGCAGACCTGGGGGGTCTGGGGGTCCATGTGTCCCATCACAGAAAATTTTGAATAACAGAGATGCCATTTCCTGCATTCTGGTGTATTTTAACGAGTTATAAATCAGCATTTACCTACATTTGTAAACACTTAATAAAATTACTATTTTGGAGAGGAACAGCAGGTTGTGTGTGAATGAGCAACTCTGATTCTGTCAGGTGTCCTAAACCCCCCTCCTCCCTCCCCTCCCGGTTCTGAGCTGAACTCTTCTCCGCTCTTGCTCCAGTCTCGTGGCACCGTTGAAGCACCTGAAGGCTTCAGTTATCTGTTGTCCAACTAAGGACAATCCAATCAATCAATTCATCCATCCATCCATTTTTTATTAAAGTAAATTGGTCTGTCTCTTTGACATTTTGATCACTGTTGTTATTTTGACAAATTAGCGCCGTTGTTTTGAAACGTGACGTATAATGTGAATAACATCAAACATTTCTCTCACTGTAAAAAATTAATTAAAAATACAAAAAGCTTTTTTATTTAATATGTCTGAAATGTAGCAAGAGTTCAGACACTTGCTGATGTGTGCGCGCGTTGGGTAGAGGTTGGAGACGTTTCTATGCGTAACGTGCACTGTCCACAGGGAATTTATTTATTCAGATGAATATTATCATTTCTGTTTCGGGAGTCTTGAGAGGAGATGGGGGTGTTTTTCAGTGCGCGGCCCCGCTGAACAGTAACAATATTTGGAGAGGAGGAGGAGACAAGGACTCCGCGCAGCGCCTAGTGTCGCCTAGTGATGGCTGGACATGGGCACCAGAGACCCCTGAGACCTGAAAAGGAAGAAGCGGGTAAAGATAATGGATGGAGGGGAGGGATGGATGGAATAAATTCAGCACTGATATCCTATTAATAAATTTAAGTATGTAACAGTATCAAACAGGTCAGCCTTGAGCCAAACCCTGCAAAACTCAAGCAACACAAATACTCAGAGAATCTTGGCATGATCTCTAATTCAAATCAATCATTTCAAGCTAAATTACTTCCTCAAAAACATTTATGATCACAAACGCATTTTCCTGCCTCCTGAATCAGATATCTACTTGTGTAGAGCACGTCAACAAAGCAATGTAGATTATAAACTGGCTCAAGGCCAGACATAACAGCATCAAGCTTTTGCCTGTTGTCATGCGATCGTATGTGTGTGTGTGTGTGTGCGTGTGTGTGAGAGAGTGCACACACGCAGAGAGACTGGGTCAACGAGATAAAGCATCCCAGCTATAAACGGTAGGCAGGAGGACAGAGTCAGATAAGCTCATGGCTTTAGGCCTCAACATGCTACTGCGAAGGCAGCTGTGCCTGAAGAAAGATAGCAACACAGAACAGAGTGTGTACATTACATCAAATTGTAGCTTTCTTATAAATATTATCAGGGATCATAAACTCAAAGATTGCTAAACTACAATCAGAGAAGTGAGAACTAGACAAGAACACTTGACTGAAGTGTAATAATGCTCTGAAGCAGCAAACATCTTTAACTGAGCATGGAATTCTGCTTTGTTCCTGAATAATACAAATGGGATTAAATATACCGTAAGCTGAAAGTAACAACATATTAGAAGGCATGCTTGGACCTCGGTTGCAATTTTTGATACATTTACTTTTGAGAAAACTGTTGTTTTACATTCCACCATATAAGGACTGCTCAACTTTTCACCAAAATGCAAATGTTTCTCAGTACGTTGGTGAAGAGTCCTCCAGGTCATGGTCAGTCCAAAAAAAAAGGAATAAATAAATAAAACCGCTGGACTTCTATTCTGAAGCAGATGTGAAAAGTTTCTCAGCTTCATTGGTGAGTTAATAACCAAAACATTTATGATCACCTAATATCGACATGGTCTAATTTTATAGATATGATAAATCTGCAAATTGTATGTGCAACTCTTAAGTGTTCAAATAACGTGAAAGGCAGGATGTGTCACAGCAGTTTGCACTGAGACAAGAGCAGTGAGGTCATAATGTTGTGGCTGATTGATTGTAGTTAAACTAAACTGATAACAATTTAAATAAATTTGGGTTTAGCATCATGCCGCTCTTAAAACCAGAAGTTTAGACTGAGACGGTACTGTGTTAAGAATTGATGAGAGATGTAGCTGTTTTGGTCAAACTTTGAAAACATTACATGTGAAATGTGAAACCTTATGATTTAACGTGCTGTAAATGACTCTCAGCTACTACCACATTACATTTGACTGAATTATAGACGTCAGTTGGTGGTGGCAGCCATCTTGAATTATGTGTCCACCCTCGTCGTTTGGTGTGTGGCAATAATAAATGCATTTTTCAAAGTGCTTGTTTGTAGTTAACTCTGACATCGGAGGTGATGTCCAAGCGATGTTCGTTTTTAGCTTGGAAGGAGTGGGAAGAAAATGAGCTACACCACAATACGCAGCTCTGAAGGGGTGTTACATACTGAACGTGTTAAATTACAGGGCCAGTTGTGAACATGCCTTCTTGGAGAACAAAAGCAGCGTCATACATTATTTCTGCACGGCCTAATTTATAGTTTTTCTCTGTGTTACAGGACGTTCAAAGAACAAATCCTTTCTGTGTGCTGTCATTTACTGTCCCTCCCCTGCTGACTCCTAAAGTAGTTTTCTGATTCAAGGCCCAACGTGTGTGAATGAAGGTCATCAATAGACTGAATTTTACACTGAAAGACATGATTTATTTGAGGCATGCTTATATGATTTCCCCATTTGTTCCAAATTATCTAAAGGACAATAAATATGGGCGCAGACTTCAGGTTTATCTGATAATGACTGTCGCCATGCAGAACGAGGCAACGTTTCAGTCTCTGTGATGAGTAATGTCCAGTTCTCGTTATTGCCTGCTCTTAGATCAATATAAAAAAAGGCTAAAAGAGAAATAGAGAGGAACTTGCGTTTGTTGTGCGGCTATCAACAGACAAATTTTTGTGAGAAATGCAACACCAAGAGAAAACACAATGCCAGTGAAGCTCAACTAGGAAGATCCTTCCTATTTTATATGAATACAAGCTCCTCTAAATGAGAACGATAGTTGTTGTGATGGATTATTACATTGTTATATAAAGCTGGACTGGGGAGGAGATAATGCAGCTTTATACATATTCACCTATGTCTGCAAACATCAAGGCCACAAATAGCAGCACATCTTGCTTGGAGTAATAGAGAAAATAAAAATTTTACCTACAGTGTACAAAATACTTTACATGGAAGAACTATGTCAAGAACTAAATCCCCCCAATGCAACGTTGTAACTGTTTTGGTTAAACCTTGAAAATGATTGTTGTGCACAATCTCGTATGGTATCGCAAGACATCACGCTCAGAGTATTCATGGTAAGCTACTAACACAGCACATCTCAAAGCATTATCTGTGAAACTGACTGAGTTAAAGCCAATGTGTCTTAAGATTAGTTGGATGTGTTATCTTGAATTGTGTTTGCCCCAAAACGTAATCAGTTGTAGAGGTGCATCCAAATGACTATTTCCTGAAATTTTCATCGAAGTCTGTCAGTGAACTATACTTCTAACAAACAGAAAAAGTCAACCCCAAATAATTATTGGCAGAATATAAATAAAGATCTTGCACAATCTGTTAAGATTATGTGCTGGGATCAGTCTAATACTAGTATTACATCAAACTATACATCAATAGCTGTAAAACTGACTGAGTCGTAGCCATGTGTGTGTTTTGTAAAGTCAGTTGACTATGGCAGCCATCTTGAATTGCTTGCTTTCTGCAAGCTTCATTATATTTGTCTAGTGGTTCGTGAGCTACTTTGTTAACAAACAAGCTCTGCAGTCGTCCTCCAATGCAAGAGCTGGGGGTTCGATTCCACCAGCAGGCACATGCTGAAGTGTCCCTGGGCAAGACACTCAGTGCCTCCAATGTGTGTCCCATCGGTGTATGAATGTGATAAAGCACTGATTATCCTTGGTATAGATCTAGTAGAGTGCTGTATGAATGGGTAAATGAGGGCACAGATTGTGTTGTACAGTGCTTTGAGTATCTCGATAAGATAGAAAGGCGCTATATAAATACAGTCCATTTACCATTTAAGTGATGTTGATCAAATGCAACAAAAAAAGTGTCTACAAATCAACAGTTTTACTTCTGAAAGCAAACCTTTCTGCACATAATAAAGCAATATCTGAGCAGTGTAAATGTTCCCTGGCAGCTCATGTGTTTACCAAACGCGTTGGCAGAGATCACATGCTGTCTGCAGTACACTCACCATCCCACAAACTGAGGTGTTAAAGGCGGTTTAACAAGCGACACCTATACTTAGCCACATGTCTATTTATACGGGGGTCCATTATACAAGCTAATTTCATATGATGACGTCACGACCGAAAGCAATCCCTTACCTGTTGTGGTTGCTGCTGAACTTCTTGTTTCGGAATTTCCTCTGCCTCTGGTAGTTTGTGCTCTGATTAGACAGGAAAGTCGAGGCATATCCGTGTTCGCACTCTGAGGTGAAAATAAAAACTAACAGTTAAAGCTGGCAAGTTCGGATTCTGTTACACAATATACATGCATTTTGTCCAAATGGGGAACAACGTTTTCTGTCGATCCTTCTTTTTTTTTTTTGCCAAACCCATAAACGTTTGAACACGTATTTATTTACCTCTGTCTCTTCTTTCTAGATATTCCGCTGCCTCCAATAACCGTTGGATGTTCATTTGCTGAACGGCAGTCATTCTTCCCCGAGGCTGGCTGGCTGCAGCTAACGTTATATTCAGCAATAAACGTTAGCTTTGTGAACAGCACGACGAGTCGCTTTTAAACGAAGGGAAGACGGTTTAACAAACAAAAATAAAAATCACAAAATAAAAAACGACGTTGGATTATTTTGTTCGGCGCCTTTAAAAGCTCATCATTTTGTCGAAAAGAAAAACGAGGAAAAAAAAGTGCAATGCAAGCTAGCAAGCTATGCTTTTAAGTTTTCGTTGTTGAAAAAATATGTTAAAATAAGTGTATGAAACTAATATTTCTGATAAATAGGATTTTTTTTTAAAATTTTTTAGAAAATTGGAAATATATAATAAAAAAAATCTCCCTTGGGAGCAGAGAGCCAGCAAAGTGCCTGCTGCGGCTCGTTTCCTCTGCTCTGCTGTTTGTTTACCTAGCTGCTCAGCTGGGGGGCGGGAACCAAGCAGAGAGGAGAGGCCTGTTTAAACGTGATGGATTCTGGGAAATTGAGTATTTTGTGCAGTCACTAATACTATTCAGACGTAGTATTTTTCTAATTTCACAAACTAACCCGTGTTAAATACTCATGAAAGATTTCGTCAACATATTATATGATTCAGGTAATTTTACAGAACTTTAAAAATTGTAGAATTAAACATTTTATGGTTTAATTTAGTAACATAAATCTACATATTAACTTGTTCAATAGGTGTGGTGATTTTTGTTTTTGCTTTGATTGTCTTTAGGTTAAACTAGTTTATTGCCACTTCAGAAAGTAAATAAAAAAGTATAACTAAATGCCAATATGCTTTCAATTTTAGATGTTTCTGAAAGATTACTGAACAGCAATCTGTGCATTGTTTTTAAATAATTATGAGAATTAAATACACCAATAAACTAGATTTAAACTGTGTTTTGATGTGTTAATTAAATTACTATTAAAATGTTTTAACTTGGATGGATATTTTTATTTTCCCATGTACAAAGGCTGTAAAGTGAAAAAGAAAACTACAAGTTCCAAGCATGACAATGGCTGTGGGCGGTTACTTTGCCGGAGATGTCGGGCCCAGCAACACGTGACGTAGTTCAAAAGCTGGAGTCTGATTGGCCAGTCGCTTTGACAGACGTCGTGGGCTGAGCCAGGACCTGACCAATCGCAGACGAGGTTTGCGCCATGTGGAAATCAGAACGAGACGCCCCCCAAATAGCAGGAAGCAAACAACAGAGAACTGAAGGAAATTCACATGAAACGCGATAAAACGCAAAATTAACACACGAGTACCCAAGTGAAAAATATGCGCATCAGTTCTCGCGATTGAATGAAAAATAAAAACACTCGGGCACCAGAAGATGCACACGGAAGTGATCGAGCGTTTCACGGGAAACAGGGTTTTATACAGAAGAGTCACTTCATATTGCATTTCTTCAACGATCAGCTATTAAATTATATCTATATACGCCAATGACTATTGCATTTGCAGTAAAAAGTCTCACAACTTAATTATAGCTGCATAATAGTCTAAAGATATATTTAATTGCTCAATACTAGCCGAAATCTGTATTTAATTGAGCTTACAGCGTTTTATCTATAAAGTTTTCGGATTTTGATCGAGTCTGCGGGGGCAGAATGACATCATCCCACAGTGAGCAGGAGGACGCCGCAATGTGATCAGATTTTATTAGGACGGAACACGAGCCAACATTTACCCTCATGCACTAAATTATATAAATGCTTTAACTTGTTCTGCAGGCACAACTGCAGGATCCTGGTTTGGAAAGTTATGCAACCATAAACCATCACGCAGATAAAAAAAATAAAGAAAGAAAATGTCCACAATTTCTTAAAACCTTGCAGCTTTTCTCCTTTCTAACAAATAAAATGCAAATGTCTTATTTGTCTGGAAGCCGACTGCAGGCAGTGCTTATTGAATGAACTCAGCCCCCTTTGTTGTCTGAGACTCCTGACAATGAAGTCTTGTTAATGTGTTTCTCCCTTTTTGTTTATTTTGCTCCTGAAATTAGGAGGATCAAGACGCAAGAACAAACTCACTTCCGTCCTTGCGCTCGGCGCTCTCGAGAAACTCTGCAGCCTCCAGCAGGACTTGCACATTTTTCAAAAAAGTGTTGATCTGCTCCATGTGGGAGTCTTTGGAGTTGAAGACGTCACTGAAGGAACAACTTGATAAGTCGAAATCCTGCTGATCCGAGAGAGACGCCTCGGAATCAAAAAAGAACTCCTCACTCTTCAAACTTCTTTGCCTCTCACTTTGGGCCATTTTTCCCTGCTCGCTGTCTTCTAGGTTGTGGCGACGCGCTGAGAGCAACAAACTCAGTGCGGCAGCTGGACCAGATGAGTCTGCTCTCCTTTCTTTCTTTTCTCTCTCCTTTTTTTTTTTATGAATGCAGAGTGTTTAATGTGGAGCTGTGGCCAATGTCAGTGGACGCTGGTGCATGGGAAAAACAGGAGCCCGGCCCCCAGAGTCTGAGGAGTCCGCATGGTCCTTGTGCCCGCCGCTGGGAAGAATCAGAGTTATATGGAGCTAAAAATGTGCCCCAAGGATTTGAATTAAAAATACCACCGAAATTTTAATGTTATGTGTTTGTATTTAAATTTTCAGTGTTAAAATATATTCAGAATACATTTTTAACCTAAAAAAAAGTTTTATTGTCATTGTTTGAAATTTCATTTGTTATTTTCACTTCTACCTCTGCAGGAAGAGGTCCACCTGCATCACGAAGGACCCCACTCACCCAGCACGCACACTTTTTGCCCCGCTCCCCTCAAGAAGGAGGTTAAGGAGCATTAAGTGTAGAACCACTAGACTCAAGAACAGCGTCTACCCTGAGGCTGTTAGACTCATGAATATCTAACCAGGATAATCACTGTGAAAAAATTGCATCATGTTGCTGCTGATCTGTTTCATGTTGCTGTGTTCATGCGTGCTCGTCTGCTCACACAGACTCGTGTTTGTGCTGCTGTTCAGCGTAATGTTTTTTATGCTACAAGTGCTTGGTGTATATTTAGTTGCTTTTCTTAGTTCATATCTTAGATCACATTGCTGTTTTTCTTTTACATTTTATTGTTGGATGTAACTGGGACCCTGTGTACACAATTTTGTTCCACCACATGTGCCACATAGGGTGTGAATGACAAAAAACATTGAATCCTTGACCCTTGAATCCTTCACTTCAAGCTAAAAATCCACACTATTATTTCAAAGTGATCGCATTTTCAATAGCTGTTTTTCAGTTTAACTTTTTAGTGTTAAAAACATTGGCACATTAAAAAAAATTAAACCTTTCAAAATTCAAAACACAATACTTTCAGACTCCTGAGATTCAACTGGCTCAATTTCGCTGTCTGGAATTCAGTGTAAAAGAGGCAGGGTTACTTCAGGTCGCAGACATTAGCAAAGGATGTCAGAATCCAACACCCGCATCTGCTTGCACTGATTTTGAAGGAAAACAGCATTTTCGAGGTGGTCATGGAAGCTAACGCTAACTCAACGGTGAGTTTAATGTTTTCATTTTTCTGTAGTTTTTTTTTTTTTTGCATCAAGTTCGATACTACATAAACCAAACTACAGAAAAATGAAAACATTAAACTCATCGTTAAGTTAGCGTTAGCTTCCATGACCGCCACAGAGATGCTGGTTTTTCTTCAAAATCAGCACAAGCATAACGTCACGTGACTAAGAAAGCTAATGTGGGTGTTGGATTCTGACATCCTTTGCTAATGCCTGTGACCTGAAGTAACCTTGCCTTTTCTTTTACACTGAAAATTTAGACACTGAATTTCAGACAATGAAATTGAGCCAGTTGAATCTCAGGTTGAATTTTTTTATGAGCCAATTTTTTAACACTGAATAGTTAAACTGAAAAACATCTATTGAAAATGTGATCACTTTGAAATAATAGTGTTAATTTTTAGCTTGAAGTGAAAATAACAAATGAAAATAAATGAATTTTCAAACAATGACATTTCTTTTTTAAGATTAAAACTGAATATATTTTAACGCTGAAAGATTAAATACAAACATGCAACATTAAAATTTCAGTGGCATTTTTAATTCAAATCTTAGCGACACATATTTACTTCCATAAACATTCTGTACAGAACCTTCATTTGTACTCGTTGATTGTTGAAGCAGCTTTGCTCTAATAGCACAGCTTCCAATAAAAGTTGAGTAAACAGTTGATGTATGACTGGAAGTTACAGTCATTAACTTTTAGTAGTACCTTTTGTTCCTTACAGCAAAATTGTGTAAACACATTTTTTTATACCATGCTGATGTATAACCCCAATTCCAAATGTTATGACATTGTGTAAAATGTAAATAAAAACTGAATGTGCTCACATCTCATAAAACTAAATCTGTGTTCAGCATGAAACAGTAAATGTATAAAATCTCAAAATTCAATTTCTCTACTTGTTTGGGGGGAATTGAGTTTCATGGTGGCAAGAAAGTTGGGACAGGATCATGTTTACCTTTGTGAAGCATCTCCTTGTTTTAAAAAACAGTGGTGGTGCAGAGGTTAGAGAAGGCGAGCATGTGATCGGAAGGTCATTGATTCAACTCCTCAAATTGACAAATTCAAAAATGTGGATGGGAACGGTCACAACCACACCTGCCTCCACCCTCCTTTGCTCCACTCTTGGCCCTTGAGCAAGGCCTTTAACTCTTTACCTTCTGCTCCCCCGGGCAACTGAGATGACAACTCTCAGCTCCACACAGAGGGCTGTGGTAGCTCGGTGGTCTTTGGTTGCATTAAGGGCATCCGGCGTAAAAACAATTGCCAACTGTTCTTCCTGTGGTGACCCCTGAAGATAGTAACTATGCTTTCTTGTTTCATATTGCTTAAAATAAAAGTTTCCTCAAATTATTGGGGTTGCAGAAGATTAATCTATGGTGTCCAAAGCTCGAAAACTTGATAAAGAAACTGAAAGTAAAATTGGGTTTATTTTTCAGAAAAAGATCCTGCCTAACTCTGAATGCTTCCTTCCATTGATGACCGTGACATTATTTACATGAACGCTCCTGCAAGCACCCTGCAGATGTTGGATGCTGTCTATCGTTCATGGTGCACTAAGATTCATAACTGGCTGTAACTATCGTACTCATCACTGCACCCTGTATTCACTGGTTAACTGGTCATCATTAACTTCACACAGACTCTCACACTGGTACATTTTCATCTTTAAATCACTCCTTGGTATGTTGCCTTCATACATCTCCTTCTACATGTCACGTCGTCAGTGCAGCTACAGCGTGCACTCTCAGGACATCATTACCCGCAGCGTTGCATCAGTGCGAACTGAATTCAGCAAAAAGGGCCTTCTCTTACTCTGCTCCTGTTTCCTGGAGCAGCTAATAAAAACGATCTGAAGCTGTCGACTTCGACCTCTCTAAGAGATTTTAAACGACTGTTAAGTTCAATGCAAAAATCAAAGCAGACATGTTCCTGTTATTAGTATTTTACCTAGTTTCATAATGTAGCGTGTTTTTATTTTGTTTTATATCACTCCTTTTATTTACTTTTAATTTTTTATGCATTTTATGGCTATTTATAGTTGTCTGTACCTTATCTGTGGTTTTGTTTAAAACAGGTCTCTCTTGAAAACGAGTCCTTGTGACTCAATGAGACTAACCTGTATAAATAAATGTTGAATGGAGGAAAATGACACCTGTAGCCACCCCGTGACTCCACCTTTGCACCTGGTGGTGGATAAAATAGCTCCCTCCCTTGTTAGGATCAGTCACTCTGGGCTGCCTTGAACAAAAAAACAACAACAAAAAAAACTACTGCTGTTCTTATATGCAATGTAACTCCTACCCACTTGAATATATTGCACTAAAACATTAAGTTTTACTTGCAATCCTTGTTCAAGTCCAGTCCAGAAAAACACTTATCTCAAAAACTACAATGACTGGGGACATTGGCATACTGCTTGTTTAGTTGTATTTAGATCTTATAGTGTCCTGTGACATATTTGATTTAGTGACAGAATAATTAAAAAAAATGAAAGTAAAATGAGGATTTAAATTTAAGGAAAACAGGAGGGAATCAGTCATAGAAGTCAAAAGACTGAATGCACAAAACCAAAAGGGGTGGTATATAACCTTAAACTTCTGTCTCTTGTCTGTCCTTTAACTTCCTTGCAAAGACATTCCCACTTGTTGACAAGTAAACACTTCATAATTATGTTTATTGTCAGTGGTGATGCACTACAAGCCACCTGTGAGAGATATTTCAAAGGACACGAACTGCAAATGTGGCCACTCAGATCTTGGACATATTATATATAAAACTCATGCTTGGGACATTGGGACATTAATAAAAAAAAAAAGTGTTGTTTTTTAATACCAGTATGAACAAATGACCATACTGTTGTATTTCTCCATTAATTTATACTGTATATATATTTTTAGCAGCAACCATTATTTTTCATTCAAACTTTATTTATCCAGGTTAGTCTCATTGAGTCACGAGGACTCATTTTCTGTTTTAGACAGATAAGTACAGATAAAGTACAGATAAAAATAATTCAACAAAAGCAATTAAAATCAAATAAAAGAAGTTATAAAAGCAGACAAATCAAGACGCCATATAAAACAAGGTCAAATACTAAAAGCGAGAACATCTACCTTCTTGCATTCAGACAATTCAATTCAATTAAAAAAATACTTTATTAATCCCAAAGGGAAATTATTTGTTGTTGTAACTCATTATCCTCATTTCATTAAGAGTTGTTATAGATACTGATGGCTGTAGGCAGGAGGATCTCTTGTAAAGGTTCATTCCACAGTGGATCCTAAGAAACTGGCTGCAGATGCCGTCTGATCCATCCACCCAGAATCGGCTGGCCTCTCGGTTCCCCCCGAGCTGTAGGACCGCCTGAATGCTGGGCAGAACTCCTCCCAGAGCAATGGCCACTCCTCCCAGCAGTCTGCCGAGTTCCTCGTCGCTGCGGACAGCCAACTGTAGGTGCCGAGGGATGATCCTGTCCTTCCACTGTCATGAGCCATGTTTCCTGCTAGTTCCAGGATCTCAGTGGTCAGGCACTCGAGCACAGCTGGCAGGTAGATGAGAATGCATCCACAGAACATCCTTTTCAACTCATTTGAGATTTGGGGCTGCAGTTGAGATATTATTTGAGCTTTTGAGATGTTAATCAGCTGCTGTTGGTTGTAGAAAACTGTCTTGTTGCCATGGTTACTCATCACAACAAATGTCCAAAACTAAAAAAGTTTCAGTAAAAATCCTTCCAGCTGCACAGCATCCGATACCAGAGGAAACAAGTCATCCAAAAAAAGGGATTTACATCCAGAAAACCAGGACTTAAAGTTTCCAAACCAAAATCTCATAATGAATGTAACAAAGCTGCTCCAACATGCA